TGTCTTTTAAATCTCAGTGCACAGGACATGGCAACTTCTGGGGATTATTTAGTAATTGCAGAACCACAGTGCCTAAAAGGCCACCCTTGTGCCCCAAACGCGTTTCCAGGGCAGCCCCGCTGCCGTGAAGGAGAGGAGGGCTCTGGAGCTGCAGGAGCCCGCAAAACCGGGGGCTGCACCTCTGCTTCGAGACTTTGTTTTATTGCAGCCTCGAACAGCACCGCTCCGATCGCTCCCGTCGTCGCCGTCCTGGAAACCGCCGGCGGTTTCTCCCTGCCTCAATATAATAAAGCAGAGTCATAAAGATTTCAGACTAATAAACATTGGCCTTTAGGGCGCTTTCAGCTTTTATCAGGCTAATAAGATTTTTGACTTACATCGAAAGGGAAAGTGGGTATTTTATTGCAGCCTCGAACAGCACCGCTCCGATCGCTCCCGTCGTCGCCGTCCTGGAAACCGCCGGCGGTTTCTCCCTGCCTCAATATAATAAAGCAGAGTCATAAAGATTTCAGACTAATAAACATTGGCCTTTAGGGCGCTTTCAGCTTTTATCAGGCTAATAAGATTTTTGACTTACATCGAAAGGGAAAGTGGGTAAACAGCTTTTATGAACCTGGAAGCCCGCGGGGGACTCATGGTCTTGTCGGGGCGCTTGGGCACCTTTCCGAAATGAAAAGCTCCGGCAGCCTCCGGGCGAACCGCACTGGGAGAGCGTTTCTGCAGATGGCCTTGCGTGCAGTGTCTGGACTTAATTATCTGTCTGATGCCGAAGTTTCCGAAGGTGCACGAGGACGGGGAGATTCTGCTGCCTGAGCCTCATCGTCCGCATTACCCCCCTCCGACGGGGGAAGCGAACGGGGATCTGTCCTTCCTCTGCGGGGGTGGTGGTCAAGCCCATCCCCACCACTCCTAAACGTGCACGGATCCCCTCTGGCGAGGAGCACGAGCAGCCCTTCTCCTAAGAAATTCGGGTTTAGTTGTGAATTGTTTTTTTTATCACTGGCTTTTTATGGCTGATTATCAGGAGAGACAGGGGATGTCATTAAACAGCTTGTTTTCAGGTATAAAATTTCAAGAAGGAAGAAGGGAGTTGTTTGGTATAAACAGGCATAAACTTCATTATTTTCTAGAAATTCTTTTTTATTTAAAATTTAAAACCATATTACTTCATACAGCAAACTGTGCACTTTGATATATCACAGTGTCTTAAAAAGGAAAATAATCAGAATTTTTTCTTTTTTTTTTTGGAAATTTTATTTACATCAGCCTAGAATGATCAGCAAGTAACACAGTTACTATGAAACCAAAATTGTTACAAAATGTTTACAAAAAACTATATTCATAGAAATTCTGCGTGTCCACAAAGGAAAATCCCCTGAATGTCACGGAGACTGTTTTTTCCTTTTTTTCCACTCTTTTCTGTTTTTTTTTCTTTTTGTTTTTTTTTGTCTTTTTTTTGAGAAACATGTCAAAGTGTCAGGTACAGAGAGCAGAGGCCTCGGGGCGCAGATGCCCGGGGATGCTCCTGCCTGGCAGCCCCCAGCACCCTGGGTGATGCCCGCGCAGGGCCGTGCCGTTGCACCCCGTGGGTGCTGGGGCTCAGGGCCTCCGCACGGGTCGGCTGCGTGTGGCTCAGGTTCGTGGGCGCTGGGCAATGGCCACCAGGATCTGCTGAGTCCCTTTGCCTTGACTGTCCCGGAGACCCCCCATGCCTGTGCCCGGCTGGATCTCGCTTGGCAGAAGCACCCACCGAGGGGGAGCAGTGGTTGTCCAGAGCTGGAACTGGTTCCTCTTTGCATATTCCACCTCTTTGTGAATCTCTTGTCTCAACATCGCCACGTGCCGTTGGTTCACCCCAAACGGAAAAGCAGCCCCAAACAAAGCCACCTGCCCCCTGTGCCCCTGCTCTGTCCCACGGAGAGCTGGGATGAAAAAGCAGGTGATAAAGGGACAGTGAACTGAGGTGACAACAGTTTAGATACAGTTTAATAGCCCAAACCTGCTTTTTCTCTATTTCCTCCTCACTTTTTCAGTCCCTCTGCCCACGAAGTGAAGAAAGGAGCTGATTTAAGCAAAGCTGGGAGTCGGGTGATTTCTAAGACGTGAGTCACCGATAGCCACCAGCGGGTCCTGCAGTAGCTTGCAGATGGCTTTGAGGCTTTGTCCGCCCCGTCTGACGTCTCCCAGCCACCGCTGCGGAGCACCGGGCTCCTTGCTCCTCTCCGCAATGAAGCACTGCGCGGGTTGGGGGCTCCCGCTCCCCGGGACGAAGGCGAGGAGCTCGCGGGGTGCCGGGGAATAACCGGAGACGCCGCGGTCTCTGCGGAGCGATGGGCTGAATCCACACTCGTTCTGCGCGGAGCTGCCTCTGGTTGGCAGCAGGAGGTGCCCGCAGGTGCCCGGGGAGCGGGACAGGCAGCCGTCCCCGCGGCCGGGGGTCCCCGCAGCCCCCCAGCTCCTGCCGTGCTCTGAGCGGTGCAGAACGTTTCCTCGTTAAACGTGTCAAGCGTTTTAATGATGGGGATTTAAGCGTAAAACCATAACGCAGGTGCATGAATTTCGCTGCCGTTTCGTGGCTGATGTGTGGTCGGTGCAGAGAGGGATGGGCAAGGGTCGTCTGCAGGGGTTGGTCTTGCTGGCAGGTAGCACCAGTCATTCCGCATTCTCACCTGCCACTCTGGGGCATTTGTGAGAAAAATCAAATCAAACTGGTGTTAAAGATGAATAAATGGGGTTTATGGTATGAGTAGTATTTATTTATTTTTAAAAATTCTGCCAAGAAGCAAAATGAATGCTATTTTCTGTGGCATTCTACTCTCTCTGAACATTTACAGCCAGTTTCAGGCTTTTTATTTCACCCCTAATTGTAAAAATCCCTTTCTAAGAGTTTAGAAATCTGCAAGGGAAACAGGAAATCTACTACTCTGACAAGCCTAAGGATTTGCAAAGAAATACAGACAGAATGTCATTAGCTTTGGGAAAGAGATGTATGCTTCCAATCTGTCCTCTGCTGTAGGTGTTTGCTCAGCAAACTATTACGAGTGTGATGCCCACTGAGCTGGCAGCTTTCACCCCTCATTTTTCATGATTTCTATGAAAAGGTGAAAATTTAACGTAAATTCTTCGCATAATTTTACTTGAGTCCAGATATGAGAAATTACCTTTTTTGTTTCGGGTCACTGTGTTGCTTTTTTACATCAGGGAAAAACAAAATAAGGACAAATTATGTTCTGTGATGGGGGAACAGCTATCTCCCCTTGAGCTAATGTGCTAATTCCGATCAGCTCCAAAGACAACGTTCCTAACAGAGCCTCAGAAAGAAACAGGTGGGGAAGAAAAACCTGAAATCAGCTACAAACAGGTTTGTTCCTTTGGGCGAGGACAAACTTCCCAGCGGGGCCTTGCAGCCGGGGTTGGGCGAACTGGGTCAGCTCAGCCGCCGGTCCCTGCGGTGCCGCGGCACCTCCCCGCGCTCACGGCGCAGAGGGCGAAGTGTCGGCACACGGAGCTCGGGCATCGTTGGGCTGCTCCATCGCCACGCTGCCCTGTGCACCCCCAAACCAGGATTTAGGGGGTGGGTGCTGGAGGGGTTTCCAGCAGCAGCGCGGTCTGCGGCAGGTGGCTGTCCCCCTGGTGGGAGGTGGCTCTTTTCTTCAGCACCAGCGTTCAAATCCGAGCTTTTGGGCACCTTTGCAATGCTCTCCGTGCGATGTTCTGGGTTACCATGGGCAGAGCCATTTCTGCTTGTTCCGTTTTGCAAGTTAATCCGCGGTGTCCCGCTGGCCCCGCGTGCGGTTCCCGCGGAGGGATGGAGCTGCGCGATGTTACTGGAGCGTTACTTTAGGTCAGCAGACGGGTCTTTGGTAATTCTGACTAAATTCATCTGCAGGACCAGCCTTCTGGGGTTAGCAACCTGAACATAGGAGCACAGTTCATGGAAGGTTTCTATAAAACGTTTTAGTGTGTTTGCTTAAATCCCGGGGGTGCAGCTCAGCGGCGGAGCCGGAGGGGTGTCGGGCTCACACCGTGCTGCGTGTCCCAGCCCAGCCCCAGCCCTCGTCCTTCAGGTCTCTGGTGCCACGGAGGGCATTTCGTGCTGAACCAGACACACGGTCCTCTCCTGGGCTGAGCGCGACGCAGCGGAGCTGCAGTTCAGCACCGCCGAATTTCGTGGAAATTGATACCGTTCGGCTCTTGGAAGCAGCTCTGCTCCTGCCGCTGCCGAGGCCTGAGCACTCGGCCGCCCTCTGCGCCTCTTTGCAGGAGCTTTGTGGAGTGAAGGAGCTGGAGATGACGGTGTCACCCTGGGCACAGGCTGGAGCCTGGCACGGGGCGAGGGGTGGTGTCACGGAGATGGCAGTGGCTCCCACGCATGCA